TGGACATTTTCATTTTGGTTTTCCTTTTGCATTGTAAGACAAAAGTATTAAGATTTCATTTGCATATTGTTACTTCTTTGTACCTTAAGGCTTAACACTTTATATTTTTCACCTTTTTCATGAAATTTATGTTTTCAGTGTTCTTGGGTTACTGAATATAACAAGTTTATGTGATGTAATCTCTTGAGATATAATTGAAATGGACCCTAGTTATGAAAAATGACACAGAATAGATTGATGTAGCTGAACAAAAACTACTTAGTTAAGGGTTTGCTGTGCAGTTGCTATAGTTTTAGAAATGTTGACTAGTTTTCACGTTGCTCATTAATTTTATAAAATAGTTGGTAATGGTAACGTTGTTTTAAAACAGGATAAAATAGGTAAGTTGCATGTAATACTCACTTTTGTCCTAGAATATTAGGTGGTTGTAATTTGGTTGTCGATAGTTTTGTTTTGCTTCTAGAAGCTCTCTGTCCTCTCATGTCGCAGGACTGGAAATAAGGAAGGTGAAATTTTTTGAAGCAAACCTATCTAGTTAGTCTGCTTTTTTATTTTATTTTTAAGTATTCCTTTCTAGATATGGTGTTGGTGGTTAGCATGGGAAGAATATTTGTAGAGATGGTAGTATAATTGTTTGGATGAAACCTGTTCTGGTTAGTGTACTTTATGACGTAGCTTTGTGAAACACAAATTTCTGGTACTGGTGCTGGTGCTGGTGCTGCTGACTCTGGTGTAGGACAGTATCTACAAAAGCTTTTAGATTGGCCAGATATGTGATACCGCAAATTTCTATTGGTGGTGATAACTGTGGCATATGATTTCATTTTCTTTTATTTATTAGATGCATTTGATTTGTTTTGTTTACATTGGGCAAGAGAGGCATATTCGCATTTCAGACTTTGTTGAGTTTGGAACGCCTGCAATGCAATGAAGATAGTTTGGTCCTTTTCTTTCATGCTATTTATGTTTCATTCGAATTTTTACCTGCTTTCATTTCTTGAAGTGGTTTGGTGAGAGTTTTGACTTTCCTGAATGCATTGTTGTCGTTGCATCATATATAAAATTTTTATGCTTATTATTGGATAAAATTTTAATACTTGTCTTGAAGTTTTTTCGTAGTTCTGGTGATTTGTTTCTTTCTTATCTTTTTCTCACTTCTCTGTTTTAACTTTTTGGACAAACTTCACTTTACCTTCCTATGGTTTAGGCCATGTGCGGATTATCCCTTGACTTTCGAATATCACCACATAACCTCCCTGTGGTTGATGGACTAATGTGCACCGTTAGCTTTTCTGTGTATTCTAACCGGCTGTGCAGTGCACGCGAGCGTGGTGCAAGTGGGCATGAACTGATGATGTTCCCTCACAATGAAAAGACCAAAATGCCCCTAGGGTTAAACATAAAACCTTACCCAAGAATATGCTTTGTATGTTGAGTTGCAGGCTAGACTACCCAGCAAAAATGTCATCTTCAAGCATTGGAGGTGGAGAAGGACAAATGTTGAGGTTCATAAGCAAGAAATGTCGTTGTGGAAGAAAAATAGCCATTAGAATCGTGGAGTCCGAGAAGCCTTCAAAAGGTAGGTTGTACTATGTTTGTGAAAATGCGGGTTTGGGTAGTTGTGATTTCTGGTCTTGGTGCAACCCAGTTGGATATGCTACCATTTATGGAAGAGATGAGATTGATGATGAGAAGCCAAGAGTTGAGGAAGGTGTGCAGTTTAATGCAAGACTGATGAAGCTGGAGATGAAGATGGAGGCACTGACCATGATTATGAAGACATCTATGGTGGTTTTGCTTGTGTGCTTCATTTTCACCATGTTAATGTTCAGTATGAAATGAATTTGTAAGAATTTGTAAGGTGCTTTATGTACTTGATGTATGTTTGAAAGCAATGAAATTATGTTTATGAAATTTGTGAGTTTTGTATGTTCTTTTTTACTGCAACATGGAAATGCATTGAAAATTATACCAACACAAACCCTGCTGAGTTTAATTTGAAAAAAAATCAACAAATTCTTAATTTTTTTTTACTGCATTCCAATGCAAAATATACAACCAACATTTCCAACACAAACAAACTGACTTTATACTTGAAGCAATGGTAACCCTACTGAGTTGATTTGCAAGACAATAGGCCTAAATACCAATTCATTTTCAGAAGTAATGGAACAAAAACCATAACTCTAAATACAAAAACTGAGATTGACAATGGAACAAAAATGACCAAAAAAATTGAGATCGACAATGCTATTCAATACCAATCCATTTACAAAAGTATGCTGCATTTGAAAACCATTCTCAAAAACCATAACTCTAAATACAAAAATCGTAACTCTAAATGTGTGTCTATCTTTCTTTAGCTTAAATACAAACACAACACATCCCACGGTATTGTTTCATTACAAAAACATAAATAATAATAGGTAATTCTATAGTCTACTTTGACCCAGTTGCCAGTTTTTTATCCAGTCTCCTTGCTTTGTGCAGAAGTTATTGAAATAGCATGCCCTTTGACATTAGCATTCACTCTAGTTCTTTCAACATTGACTGCAGATGTAGATGCATTAATTGGTCCTCTACTCCTCCCACCAACTGTGATTTTAGGTCCTTTGCCAAGACCACTTGATGCCTTTCCACCATGGGTTAGTAGTTTTTTGGGCTGCAATAACATTTTCCATTAATAGACTGAAAAGTTACAAAACAAAAAAGTTGGTTATATAAACAAGTGAGTTACCTGAGTGGATGACCTAATACTCCTCATCTTCAGTCCAATAGAAACAGTACTCATTGGTGGCTAAGATGCTGCTTGGCCTCCTCTTCTAGTTTGGCTGTTACTGGACATCTGAGGCCAAAAAATTTCCAGTCAGGAACAAATTGGGCAAACTACTGTTAGTTTTTTACTTGAAGTTACAAGTCAACATTAAAAGTTGGTTACCTCATTTGATGGGATGTTTATTGTTGGAGTAGGAGTAGGAGTTAATGCAGCTTGAGATGATTGCCCACTAGTACATCTCTGCTGCAACAAACAAATAACAACATGTGTATAATAAATGAATGCATAAGTATATACTAACCTTCACCATTTTGGACTCAGGATGCAGTTTGTTCGTGCATGACCTCTGATTGTGCCCCTTCTGCAAACACTTAGCACATGTCACATTGATGTTCTTCCTTGATGCCTTGTGTGTATTTCTTGCCTCATTTGCTTGTCTGTTTCTTAACTTCTTTGGTCTGCCTGCTAATTTCTTTGCTTCTGGTGGATTCAATTTCTGGCCACCTTCCTCATACTCATGCATATCTGGAACTGGGTGTATCATGAATATAAGTATCCATGTACCTAGACTTGCTGTAATACTCATGCACATAGGCTTCTAACTGCTCATGACTGATTTGAATGGCGCTGATGGCATGACTACAAGGCAAACTAGACAAATCTCATCTCTTGCATGTCCTAGTACTTAGGTCCACTATGTACCTCCTCTGAAAATGATCAACTTCAAATTCCAATTGTCCACACCAAGTTGCAAAGCAGTTCCTTGATTTTACCTTCAACTTCTCAAGTTTGTCATGAATATTGGAACAAATCTCACTGCTATATTTTGCCATTTCAGCCTTTTTAACTTGAATCCTTTGTATCAATTTCCTTTTGATCCATTCAAACATGGAGATTATTGGTAGCTCTCTAGCTTCTAGGATGTAAGAATTGAATGACCCACTTAAATTGTTGACAAGGATGTCACGCTTGCTCTTTGGAGAAAAATGTGACCTTGCCCACAAAGCAGGGTCAGTCTCTCTTAACCACTCCACAGCTGTCTTCCTATTTCCAGTCTTAGGATCAGCTTCTTCAATCTTCTTTATCCAATAATTGAATTCATGCACATTTCCAGTTGATGCAGCTTTCCGGAACAGGTCTTTCAACACATAACCATTGTATTTTGTCTTGAAGTTACTATACACATGTCTCAGGCAGTATCTATGATTTGCAGTAGGGTATAACTCTGTAAATGTTTCCACCAACCCCTGTCTATCTGATATAAATGTCTTCCAGTCTTAGGATCAGCTTCTTCAATCTTCTTTATCCAATAATTGAATTCATGCACATTTCCAGTTGATGCAGCTTTCCGGAACAGGTCTTTCAACACACAACCATTGTATTTTGTCTTGAAGTTACTATACACATGTCTCAGGCAGTATCTATGATTTGCAGTAGGGTATAACTCTGTAAATGTTTCCACCAACCCCTGTCTATCTGATATAAATGTCCACCCCATCTCCTCAACACTCCCAATATCACTCATCAATTCCTCAAGAAACCAAAACCAAAACCAAGAGGCTTTACATTCTATCTCAACCAAAGCCACTGCAATAGGATACATGTTGTCATTTCCATCTCTCCCAATAACACTGAGTAGCTGCCCTCCAAAAATCCCTTTCAAATGACAACCATCTAGTCCTATTATTGGTTTACACCCTGCTAGAAATCCATATTTTTGTGCACCAAGCCTGAAATACATTCTTTCAAATGTAGGCTCTATCTTTTCAGGATTAGTTGTTATTGAAATGTGTGAGGTTGGATTTTTCCTAATAACCGTAGTTGCATAATCCCTAATCCTGTGATATTGCTCTGCCAAATCCCCTGCAATTATCTCCCTTGCCTTTCTCTATGCCCTATATATTTGAAACCTACTTGCATCTACTATTATCCATCTTCTAATTTTTTTCTTGAAAGAGGCAATGTTAATGGAGGGGTCATCTCTCACCTCATCTACAAACTTCTTCCTCAAATACTTAGAGTTGGCTTGTTTGTTACTATAATGCCTCCCACATGTGTGTTTCCCTTCTAGAGTTTTGATCTGAAAGGTTATAGTTCTCCCAAATGGAGAGACATGTATCCTCCAACTACACCCATGCCTACAAACAGCAGTGATCCTAGCACTCTTATTTCTGATGTACCTTGTATCATAACCATGCACCACATTAAACTCCCTCAAATACTCTCAAAAAACTTGGGGACTGGGAAATTTCATTCCAACTACAAGTTTGGGATCCTTCATCATCCCTTCTTTGTATTCTGGGTATCCAGCATCATCTCCCTCATCTGATGATCCTTTCAGGCTAATCAATTCATCATCATCATCATCATCATCATCATCAACATCTGAATACCAACCAACATCATCTGGTATATTGACTTTAGGTGGTGGTGGTCCTTTAGTTTTTCTGTGTGAGGTTTCATAAAAAATATCATCATTTGGACCCCCCAGGTCTTCATACATCCAACTTTGGTCATCATTTTCCTTTGCACTATCCTCAGAAGTTTCAGTATCACTATATTCTTCACTAACTATATAGTCCAAGTCCTGAGAATCATTACTATCAGTTCTCTCTTCATCAGCCAAAAATTCAGTTTCACTCTATGCACTGTTACTCTCATCAGCCTTATTACCTTCTGTAGACTCAGTGTCAGTAGTATGCTGCAACCTGTAGCACTTGGGTACTTTTAAAACTTTTGGGAAGTGTATTTGAATCATATATCATGTTTTGGGAATCTTTGGTGTTGTTGTACCTTGGTTTTCGATGAGTGAAAATTTATTTAAACATGTTGGGATTGCTCGTTCACGCTTGTTCGCGTTGAAAAGTTATATGGAAACTTGAAAATCATGTTCTGGGGTCGACACCGGTCTTGGTGGTGTCGACACCTTCTCTTTTGTTTGCCATAAGGGTCGACACCAAAGCTGGGAAGGGTCGACCCTTGTCCTGAATTTGTTCACTGCATTTTGGTGTCGACACCAGCCTTGGTGGTGTCGACACCTTCTCCTTTGGTTGGCCGCAAGGGTCGACATCAATCGGTGGAAGGGTCGACCCTTGTTCTGAATTGCCCACTGCATTATGGTGTCGACATTAGCCTAGGGAAGGGTCCACACCTGTAGTGCAGTCACACTTAGTGTTCTAGATTTGTTCTTAGGTGTCGACACCTGTGTTGTGAAGGGTCGACACCTCAATCTTTGATCTTTGATGAAGCTCTCCTTTAGATCTTTTCCCTCTCTAATTTTTCTCTCAGGAGATATTTGTGTCAAGTTCTTAGTTCATTATTCAAAGAGGCACACACACACACACACACATATATATATATATAAGGTGAATATGACAAAAATCAATCAATTTAATCATTCCAAATCAAATTTCTACAAAAATGTTTATTATTACCTAAAAATTATGCTAATTTCAAATATAAAATCAATTTCAGATTATCAAGCCTCTAAGGCCCTCAATTTCTGATCCAAACATTCTAATTGTGACAGATACTTTCTTATTAAACAGATATGTATCCGTAATCACAGGATTCACTTAATTAAACTTCAAGCCACATAAAGTTTCACTATAAGCATTTAAATGCACAGAATAGGGGACCAAAAGTATACCAGAAACACATACGAGGGTCAAGGTATTACATTAAATCCCATTAAGTTGTATCATATTAAATCCCACTTATTATTCAATGAGAAACTCCACTTACTATTCAATCAAATTTCACTTATTACTCAATTAGATATATGGCTTACTACTTAATAAGACACTGCTTAATTGGACTTGATCTACTACTTAATTAAATCCCACTTGCTACTTAAAGAAACTTTACTTTATTATTTTATGAATAATTGTATATGTACCAATTAATATACTAACTAATGTACTAATAGATGATGTGACATAATTTTAGAAGTTTTGGGTATTTGTAATTTGTATAATAAATGAGGTCAATAATAATTGCATAACATTAGTTGGTACATTAATGTGTACACTAATTAGTATATGTAGCACCGCCATTATTTTATTAGACTTTGCTTACTATTCAATTAAACTCTATTTATTACTCAATCAAACTTGACCTACTATTCAATTAAACATTACTTACTACTCGTTGACACTTAACTTACTCTACTAACTACTGAATTAAATTCATTCATTACTCAATCAAACATGAATACTCAATTTACTATCTTATTAAACTTGAATTACTCCTCATATTAAACCACACTTACTACTCCATCAGACTCGATTTAATATTCAATGAAATTTCACTTACTATTTAATGAGACTCCATTTGCTACTCTATTAGGCTCGACCTATTACTCAAATAAATTTTATTTACTGCTCAATGAGACTCCACTTACTACTCTGTTAGACTCGACATATTACTTAATAAAACTTCATTTAGCACTCAATGAGACTCCACTTAATTATTGCTCCATCAAACTTGACTTACTATTCAATCAAATATCGTTTACCAGTCAATGATACTCCACTTACTCTACTTACTATTTCATTAGACTACTATTCAATCAAACGTTTGATACTCGACTTTTTACTTCATCCAACTTAGCTTACTATTTAATAAAATCTCATTTAGAGAGTGTCATACTAAGTGATAAGTCATCTCAAAACAAATGGTAAGATAATTCATAACGAGTGATAAACAAATTTAGAAATCTAACCAACTTTAGAGAGTGTCAGATCTCATTTATTACTGAATGATATTTCATTTACTATTTCATTAAATTTGACTAACTACTTAGTTAAACCATATTTACTACTTAAGGAGATTTCACTTATGACTTTATTAGACTTAACATACTACCTAATTAAATTTCACTTATTACTTAATGAGACTTCACCTACAATTCTATTAGCCAGGACTTATTACTTAAGAGTGATAAGTATTGTCAATTTGTCATAACAAGTGACATGGAGGACTTAAATAACCAAGCATATCCATGGGTTTCAACTTAAGTCCATGTCACTTACAATTTTAGATATAACTTAGAGGACTTAAATTTTTTAAGTCCATGTCACTTAAAAATCAATGATTGTTTAAGTCCATGTCACTTACAATTTTAGATATAACTTACAACACATAATTGTTTATAAAATCATTGTCAAATAATATCTAAAATTTAACCAAGCATATCCATGGGTTTCAACTTAAGTAAATAGAGTTCAGAAAATAATCAACGTAATTGAAATATCAATATAATTTATAAAATACAAGTTACGTAAAATAAATTATGATAACTCAAAATATACATAAAATATATTATAGAGATTCAAGGTAATATAACTCATCTAAATATTAATTCTTGTCTCTCACATTCTACTGTCAAAGACTTTTCTTCCTCCAGTATATCTTTCCTTTGTTTGTTTTTATTGATCTAAGCAAATCCTCTCCTATTTATAGGGTGGCAACCGTGGGCATGAAGCCACAAGGTTGCCCCAGCTCCTACACGTGGCACCCAAAGCCATATCTCTTAATTCATGTTTATCCCTTTTTATTTTATTTTATTTTATTTTATTTTATTTTATTTTTTTAAACTTTTGGTGTAATGTTATCTTGGCCTAGTTATATATATCATTTTTTATAATAAACACTTTCTAATTATTTTTTTATCACATGCAATCATAATATTTAATATTTTAATTTACTCTTACAGAATATTTAATGAAACCTTTAAGGTTTTTCTCATTTATAATTAAATAATATTAATATAAAATTTAAGAGACAACTTAAATTTTTGGATTATTACAATCTTCCTTCCTTTTAAAAATTTCGTCATCGAAATTTGTCATATACGCTGTGCACTTTGATAAATATATATATCAAGAATAAATTTGATGATTAATTTGATATAAAATATTGCTAAATCATTACCTCAAAGAAATTTACCAAAAACAACTAACTATTTATTTGTCAAAAACTGGTTCAGGCCAAAATGAGAAATAATTGGTGACTTTAAAAACTTTTCATTGGTTTTGTTTCCGAAAATAAAAAATAAAAATAAAATGAAAACACAATTAAACAAGCGACCGTAAATGAAATGACAGAACATGCAAAGAGTTGAAGGTATTTGAGATGAACTTCCATTTCTTTTACCCACCAAAAAAAAAAAGTTCCATTTCTTTTATCCATGAATTTTTCATTGATGGGAAATAGTTTCAAAATCAGTATCTTTATAAAAAAAAATTTATAAATTTTGAAAAATTATAGATTTGAACCCACTTCTAAAAAGTCAAAATGAATTTATATATATATATATATATATCAATGAAATACCATAACTATATATACCATGATTGTTGCTACACAAATATTTAATTTAAATACAACTTGTAACCTAGCTCAACGTTTTCCCCATCCTATTTGTGCATGTGTCTTATGCTCCACTGTTTTTATCAAAATAATTAAAAAAACCTAGGCCTTGATACCACTTATCACGTCCCGCTCCCTGTACCCAATGGTTAGGCATCGTGATGGCTAGTAACTGAAGTTATCTTAGCTCAATTATATATGTTATTTTTTATAATATGTGGTGTTTTGAAAAATTAGTAAAAAGCTAATTTTTTTTATCACATATAATCATAATATTTGATATTTTAATTTACTCTTACAGAATATTTAATGAAACCTTTATGATTTTTCTCATTTATAATTAAATAATATTAATATAAAATTTAAGACACAACTTAAATTTTTGAGTTATTACAACAGAGGATGACAGTGGTGTGAGGCAAGCGACAACGATGGCGAGGGAGGAAGATAGCAACAGAGTGTAGATCTGCAATGGTGGAGTGTACATCTACGATGGTGGAGGTGGATCTGAGATGGTGGAGGTGGTGTATACATCGGCAGCGGTGATAGTTGATGAACAATGGTAGCGGGGAAATGACGACGATGGTGGTGGACAACGATAGTAGTGGTGGTAGTAGATCACAACGGTGGTGGTGGTGGTGGTAGACGGCGACAGTGCCAATGGCTGGCTAGTGGTTATGTAAAGTTTCTAGAAACATGGTAAGAGAGAGAAAAAAGACAGATGTGAAAAAGAAATATGAAAATATTTGATATATAAATAGGGCATGGCTTCTGTCCGGTCCTTAATCGGACTGGACCGTGCTGTTGGGATCGTTGGGGTCCACCACGGGTCTCGTTTTGATAATCTGAACTGTTCATAGTGTCTGTTTGGCAGAAATTATTTACAGCTTATTTCAGCTTTCAGCTTAATTTAAACTATTTTGATGTGTTTGGTTTAACTTATAGCTTATAACTTTGTGGAAGTCAGAAATCAACTTATTCTTTGAGTGGGGCAGGAGATGCTTTAAGAATAAGCTGAAAATCAGCTTAAGCTGAAAGTTATAAGGTATAAGTTGTTTAGGCATAAGCTATAAGCACTTTCCCACAGCTCTACCGAACAGGCTATATATGAGAATTTTCCCACTGTCTCTGCTTTGATAAGAACTGAAGCGCGAAACTGAAGCGCGACAAACCCTGGCAAGTTAGGGTTTCAAAAGGTACCCCCACTCGCCGCCGCCGCCGCCGGAGTTCCTCAGCACCGCCGCCATCACAGCTACAATCGCTGTCCTTTTTTCTTCTCGTTTCGAGGTTCGGTTTTGCAATTCTCTCCCAATCGCTTGCTTGGTTTCAGAGAAAGTTTCTCTTCTTTTCAAAACTTGAATAATTTTTTTTATCATTGCTTCGACTTTATCATGTCTTTGCTCGAAGTCATCACCAAGGCTTCGGCCAATCCCAATCAACTCACCCTCGAATCGAACTACCACGTCATCCTGAACCCAGATCCCATTTTTCTCAACTTGAAGCCCAAAAACGATGAATCAAACGACACATCACTCGTCAAACGCGTCGAGGGTTGGAAAATTTGGCAAACCGATTCTGATATCATCGATTTAGGGCAAATATTTTTCAAAAAATTGAAGCGAAATCTCAAAAACCCTAGCTCATTCGGTAAGGATGATTTTATTGGGATCTTGAATTCATATTTGGAGAAGAACAGCGAGAAAGTTGGAATTTTTGTTGGGGTTGATTCTTCTGAAGAGGGTTATACCCGTAAATTGATCAAAAAGGTGGGGTTTTTGATGAGTCGTCAAGTTAAGGGTCTGGTTTTGGAGGCTTGTACTGTATTGGAGCTTTGGGAGTTGTTGGAAACCCTAATAGTTTGTGGACTAGTTGAACGTTTGTGTTCTTCAAATTTAGTTCATAATTTGATCGAACAGAGGAGGTCGGATTTGATTTGTTTATGTGTTAAGCATCTTTCAGACCTTCAAACATCGGATGTAGTTTCAATTTTGAAGTACTTTCTTTCACCGAGTAAAGGTGCATATAGTAGTATGCTAAGTGTGAGGAAGGAATGGGAGAGCCAAGCTTTATTGGCTATGGAAAAGGCGATGGATAAGAAACTTAGTGGGAAGAAACTGAACCTGGCAAAAGAGGCCTCGGTTCTGCTCATGTTAGCGCACGATGAGTTTTCAAATCCTGAATTGTGCTTGCATTATCTGCTCGCATCTTCAAACCTTGATGAGGTGATTTTGTCTTCCTGTATTAGCAAGTTGAATGGTTCGGAGATGATGGGATTGATTCAGTACTTGGGAAAGTGGTTGAAGAAGTATGAGAGATTTCCTCAAGTGTGTCCGTGTCCTAAAGCGTCATCTATGTTGGGGTTGAAAGCTTGTGAATGGGTCCCTACACTCGAAGACATTGTGAAATGTCTCGGGCTAGTGGTGGACGAGCATTTCTCTTCGTTGGTGTTGCATCCCGAGTTCCATGAAGAGTTGAGGTCTATAGATGGACTTGTTAATTCTTTAGCTCTGGAAGCTAGACTCTGTTGTTCCATGGCAAATCTAATTGAAACTTTGAGAACTGAAGTTAGAGGTATTTAATCTGAACTCACACCTCTTATTGCTACATCATATATTTATTGATCTATTTTGTATGATATTTAACAATTAGTGTTGTTGAAGTACTTTTTGATATACACTGGAGCTAGTGAAACTTAAAATTTCATGGCTGCTCGATTCTACTACTAACACATGTTCAGAACTCCCTCTATTTTTTGTTCCCATCTTTGAGATTACATTTTTTATTTTTGAGAGTGGTTGTCATCAAGTGAGTACTATACCTCAAATTTGTTGTTTTGACTTTAGTGGAAGGCCTTTGTATTTTCTTTATAAGATGTTATGTGCTCATTTGCATATGATTATTAGTTGGTGTGGTAGTTGAAGAGCAGCCAATTTTGTGTTTAAAACTAGTAGTTTCTCGCATATCATCAGAATGATCATCTCTACAGTGTAAGGGTGAGATGACAAGTCATTCAAATTTGTCATCCAATTTGTTACCATTTAAATTTGTCAGGCTATCTGAAGTTTAACTCTGAACTACACCCATCTTTACTAACTAGGAAATAGAATTTGTAACGTGGTAGTATATTTACCAAATTATTTATGAAAATATTGACAAGCATGAGAATGTGGGTTCAAGTCTTGAGCAGCCATTTTGCCAATGTTTGTCTCTAGTCTTCTTACTTCCATAAAATAAATTGTATTGAGACAGTGCTGAGGTGCCACAACCTATATACAATAAAAAAGAGGGGAAAACAAAATATATGGTAAAAAATAAATCAATCCAACACCCCTAAAACATTTCGAAGAATAACATCCACTCTCTCTACAACAAAATTCTTTAATAAGCTGCCAATTTCACAGGAGTTTTCTGAGCTTCAAATATCATATTATATGTCTCTCCACTAGCTTTAATAGTAGACGAAGCAGATTTAATGTTCGGGTGCTCCTTAAACTTCTTTAATTTTTCCTTGAAAATGAAATGGGGAATGTTCTTTTTTGTACTTAACAACAACAATTTTGTAATTGACTTAGGATACGTGGATTGATTGTTGTACAATGGAATTGAATTTTCCAAGATGGAAACATGCTTACAAGATGCAAAAATTCAGGACAATACTAATAAAAAATATTAGTGTGTTAATGCCATATAAGTGGGAAAATATATTCATGGTAACTATGTTCTTTGGAGGATTAAAGGGCATGATGTCAATTACTAAATGGTCTTGTAGCTTTGATGGCATGCATCACTATGACTTTTGATGATTCTCTCGTAGATAAAATAATTAAAACGCCTTTGGCTTATTCTATTGAACTGAAACATTGATAGGGAAGTCAGTGTTATTTTAGAAACTTAAGGTGAGGCCCTTACTGTTTTCAGAAACCTATGACGGTTTAGTGTAATCTATCTTATCATTTATTATTGCTCATGTGATGCCACTTGTACTGCAAGTATAATCCTATAATTTCAACAGCATAACATTGCATTCTAGAACAAGTTTAAGTATGCTAGGGTATTATTTGCGGTTTAATCTTTCTGCATTCCATGTAGTATGCTGGGATAGAGAGTTTTTTTTCCCTTGGAAAAACATGTTTGTACTTGGAAGAAGAAATGCTTTTGACTCTATTCTCTTTTTCTTTTCTTTTCTTTCTTTCTTTTTTTTGTTTTTTTTTATTAAAAATAATTTCCTTCCGAATATAGATTACGCATTGTTTGTAATCTCAGATCACTGATCATATCTAAATGCACACTATTTTTTACGGCTGAGTAAGGAATCCGTGAAATCCGTAATCCGATCCAGTCCAGTCCAATCAAGTAAGTTTGGATTGGTTTTTTAAATCCGTGGTTCGGTTCCGGATTGAAAAATTAAAAATCCGTAGTTCACGGATTGGTAACCATGCCATGTTGAAAACTCAGTTACATTTGATTCTTGTTTTCCTCCATTAAAAGTCTCGTGTTTTAATTGAGTCCACCATTCACAACAGTCGCTTATTTGCTTAAAGTCACATGTTTAAATTTTGAGTTTGTCATTCATGACAGTTGTTTATCAGAATCCTGCTGCCACAAGTTCTGTTCTTGCTTATCTTCACCTGAAGCCATCTGGGTGACCTGGCTAAGCCTCATTGGCGGCACCTGTTATAGCATGCTTGGGAACCTATAAGATTAGCTTGCATTGTGTCGTGAGTTCATTGATGTGATGTTGCTTTGTCTTAGAAGACAGCGTGAGGAGTTTGTGATTTGTATTTGAGACAGATAAGTAGCTAGTTACATTTACGCTGTGTTTGGTTGGAGGATTTAAGAAGGGATTTGAAAATGAAAAAAAAAAAAATTAGGTAAAATATTAATAAAATATACCTACATTTCACCTAATTTTACACACCTTTTCCCTTTCTCTTTCCAAATTCCTCCCCAAATCCCCCAACCAAACACAACATTAAGGTATTGACTAACCATGTTTTACCTATAAATGAAAATTATTATTATTTTTTTTTATAAAAATAAAAATGCGCAATTTTATGAGGTAATTTTTATATTTTGTTTCTGGGTAATTTTAACTTTTGGGAAAAGTGATGTAATGCTGAACAGAAAATACTGCATGAAGAGAACCGAGTAATAGCATCAAATTAGAGATGGCATTAATATTTGGTCATTAGTTTGTTTTGAGTTTTGACTAATTAATTGCCTTTATATCTTTTCCAAGACAAACAAGGCTTGCACCAAAAATTCCCAAATTTTGCACTTTTCTGTACTTATGTGGAGCAACAGCTGTCTCCAGATCTGATCCGTTTAGTCTTGGCAATTCATTCTAGTGATTTCATGGTCGGCAAATATGGATTAACTTGCTCTCCCAATATTGAAGAAAAAAGAGGGAAAATCAGATCCTGTTCTGGAGAAACCATCTCTGTCTTAAAGGCAACAGTCACGAAGCCAGAGAAAAACCTAGAAAGTCTGTTGTCAAGTACAGTTTGGATTGTAGGGGGTCCTAAGTGCTGGAATCGAAGGGTCTTGTAGAGATCAAATTTCACAGTTGAGGATGCCAAAGGAATAGAGTAATTCAAAGACAGTGCCCAATCATCCAAAGCTGACATGTCCACCTCCTGTTCAGCCCAAAGGTAAATCCAAAAGTAAAGCCCAATCATCCAAAGCAGACATGATCCAGTTAGCCCAACAACTGTTGATTCAAGCTAAAGCTCAATCCACCGATTCAGACAGTTCAGACGATTCAGCCCAGATCCATTCCTCTGAAGAATCAACCAATCAATATTCCGGACCAGAGTTTCAAGATGCTCAAGACCCATTTATCTGATCAACATTGGATTCCATATAGATACAAATTAGCTTCAATCAATACTCTTTTGAGAAAAGCTGCCAATTTGTATTTATATTGATTCATAATTCACATGTTCCACCGAAAGTAATGAATAGTAAAAACTACTGTTCACTTTTACTGTTCACCGTCACTATTCAACCAATCAACTTTTGCTAAAGGCTGCTCAGTTGTGTAATCACTCCACCGAAAGCATCCGACAGCATCTGCTTTTCACCTGCTCGGCCAGCTGCTTTCAGAATTCACATGCTCACTGTTTTACTTTTTATTCCTTTATATTGTAATCAATTGTAAGCATTCAGGCATTCTTCAATTTTCTTCTCCATCTTTGTTGTAAGAAAAACCAGAGTGTTTTGAGAACCTTACAAGCTTTTCCGTTGTACCCAAGTAAAGATCCTTACAGTTGCTACTAATACAATTGTAAGTTATTTTATGTTTTAATGGTTTAATTATTTTTATATGGTTTAATTATTTTATGTTTTAATGGTTTTGATTTCGTAATCCATCTCCTTCATTTGTATATGCTGCTTCCGCCTTGATGGTATCAGAGCCAAGTTAAGTTGTATCCTGTTTCTAACTGTTTAGCTACTTCTGTTTAATCGTCTTCCTTGTTTGTTTAATTAATCCTGTTTTCAGTTCCTCTTAATCACCCACAAGATCAGTCTGTTCTATCCACCTAGTTTAAGTCACCCACTTCTTCCCAGTCTTCTGTAAGTCCTTCGGTTTAGGCAGAGTCAGACTTTGGGGTTTAAAGATAGGGTATGTATGCATACTAGGTCTGTGGTAAAATTGACAAGAATAGGGTATGTATTAAGATATCTGTAAAACTGGTTAATTAAATCAAAACAATGAATCGATTATTTCGAAGTAACTCATCAGTCAGTTCTAGGTCAACTGCTTTGCCTTCCATACCTAATCCAGGCATCATAATTAATGAAGAAGATATTGAAATACAAAATGATCAGATTAATTCTGGATGGAATATTCCAAAACTTCCTATTAAAGAGATTTAAAAAACTTCTTTTATAAATAATGTTTTTAAAGTTACTCTCCATGTTAAAACTATTGAACAAGTTTATGCTTTAGAAAAACCTAGAGAAACCTGTCAGTTATTTGATAAAAAATTAATCAAACGACATTTAGATCGTGGTTATAATTTTATGCATATTGGTTTAATACAAATTGGTGTCAATCCATTAACAATGATAGGACAAAATACTTCTGTTTTACTCTGTTTAAGAGATGCTCGTTTTCTTAACTACAATGCTAGTTTAATGGGCATGATGGAAACTGGTCTTAATAAAGGTCCAGTACATTTTAACTGTTTTCCTGATTTTACATTAAGTTTAAGAGATCCACATATTCTCAAAGCATTAACATTAAACATTCAATTACATGGTGAATATACTGAAATGTTAGATTCTTCTCATAATATTGCTTTAATTTATCGTGTTCATTATAAATGTATGCAAACTAATTTAAATGTTCATGCTCTACATAAAAGTCCCAAAGATAAAACTTTATTAATCCAAAGCAGTAGTACTAATGAATCAAACATTAATATTCCTCACATGATTGAATGGAAAGATATTAATTTACCTGAACAATGGGTTACTGTTAATGAAAATTACAAACATAAAAATCAACAATCTTCAATCCAAGATATTCAACATATCCAGCAAAATACTGATGGATCCGTTAATATTAAATTAATATTAATATTCCTCACATGATTGAATGGAAAGATATTAATTTACCTGAACAATGGGTTACTGTTAATGAAAATTACAAACATAAAAATCAACAATCTTCGATCCAAGATATTCAAAATATCCAACAATATAATGATGGTTCAGTTAGCATTAAGTTTACTCGAAGCCAGTCTTCTCGACATAGTACCTCTAGTGTCCCTTCTGAAATAACAACTGAAGATGAAATCTTTAACACTCCTCTATTTAGAAAAAACAGTCAAATCCGTCTTGGTCCAACTAATCCAACTTCAACAAATAAATTAAAAGGAATTGATAATTCTACCACTTCCCAAATTAGTAAACCTGTTTATACTACTACCTCACATTTCCCTGACGAAGAAATAGCTTCAAATAATTCCCCAACTCAAACTGATTTCGACGGATTAATACCGCCTGTAAATCCTCAGCTAATGACAATTAAAAAAGCTTTTACTCCTAATTTAGACAAATTACTTATTGAATTCAAATCTAAAGAAAATAGATCTAAAAGACATGCTTATAGTGCTCAATATGATTCTGCTCAACAATCCCGCATAACTCAAAAATGGTATGATTTTATGGTTCAATATGGTTTTGAATTATCTTTCTTTGATTATATGGATCAATATCACAACAAGATTAATACAATCACAAAACACAAATGGAAAACTTCTCCAAATACTTCGGTTAGTTCTAATCATCCTCCATTAGAAAATATAATTATTGATCACCAAGGTTCTGAAGTTCCAGCCTCTCCTTTTAAATTACCTGGTAATGATACTGAAATTAAGAAGGTCATTGAACAAAATAATTATACTAATCAATGTCTAAAAACAATTGGTAAACAATTAGATAAATTAGAAACTAGTCTAGATGACCAATCTGCCAAATCAACTAAATCTCTAGATCAACCATTACTTAATCTGCCTAGTCATCGTTCCAAACGAAATAGTCTCGTTACTACTGACCAATCTACTGTCAAAGCTATTGAACAATTATTTACCAAATTAACTCCTAATGATACTTCTACATCTAAAGATAAAGGTCTTACTGTTTTAAATCAACAACCTATTACTAATACTATATCCGATCAATCTGAAAATGACACTACTGATAATGAACTACATCAATTAGCTCAACAATTTCAACCTATTACTCTGAATAAAATTCACTATCCCAAAGTTAATCCTCAAACTACCAAAAACTGGTATTCTAAACCTACTCCTGTCGACCTCCAATTTGAAGACACTAATATTAGTAATCAATTTTCTGTTTCTGCTAAAAGGCTTTATGAATGGAATATTGATGGTCTCAGTGAAGATCAAATCCTTCAAAAATTAAATCATTTATCTATGGACCTATTGTAATATCATTATCGGAATTATCACTAGGTGAATGGTAATCAGATGACGTATCAGGTTGATCAGAAGAGGAAGAATTACTAACAGAGTGATTTAATTGGAAAATATCATATAACTGATTTTTGGAGTTATCATCAATTTGGAGTTGATTGACTCGATCTTTTAATTGTTGTTTTTCTTTACATTTATTAGAATAATGACCTTTTTGACCACAGTTATAACAAGTAACATCTCTAGTGGATTTAGTTTTTGGATGTGATTTAGATTTATAATATTTCTTTTTAGGTTTAGTATAAAATTTATCATTGGATTTGGAAGGTGTATAGTTCTTCTTATATTTATATTTATTGGAATGTTTGTATGAGGATTTATGTTTGGAGTATTTGTGTGATTTTCTACGAGAGGGTGCAACAGGAGGTAAACCATATTGTTCACAGAAATTTCCTAATTCATATTTAGCTTTATGTTTATCCTTATTAGCTTTTTGAGTAAGTTTGAGGTCAATACACATTTTTAAACCTTCTTTTTGAATAGTACTAATGATATCACCATACGTTAGATTATCATATTCAATAACACCAGTGGGTTGACTAAGAACATCTCTAATTTTATGGGCAAATAAGCTAGGTAATCCATTAATAAATTTTTCTTTCCAAAATGATTTAGTACAGTCTTCGCGTAACATGACA